GTGGAGGAGGGTGACACTAAAGGAGGAAGCCTGGGCCGGAGATAGGGAAACCAGCCCCTTCCCTGTTCCCCATGGGCCCCCGGAAGGGAGGCCAATGTCAAGGAGGCCTGCTGATTTCCCATCACAAGAGGGGCTGCTGGGCCTCATCTTTGTTTCTCGAGAGGGAAGAGAAGCCTGTCCTGGTCTCCCCTAAAAAAGGGAGGGGGAGGCATGAGCCCCTACCTGGCTGCTGGAAGGCCAGGCCCCGGTGGCCTGGGTCCTTCTGGAGCTGGATGTCCTTCAGGGAGAAGATGGAGGCAGCTGGAGAGGGGGGCACAGGGCGAGAACTCAGTGGAGCCAGCCCTGCTTGGCAAGCCCGCAGCCCCCACGCCCACTGAATGCATGGAGCTGGAGCACCCCCTGGCTGGGGAACCCCTTCGGTTAGGACTGGCCCAGAAACACCTAACTGGGCCTTTCAGGCAGAGTCTCAGATCCAGTTTGGCTTTTTACTCACAAATGAGAACCCAAGGAGGGGGAAGCTGTGTACCCAAGGCTGCTCAGCTGGACCAAGGGCCTCTGGCCTTCAGTTACAGCTCTTCTGCCCACACCTACTGCCCCCTTTCCTGGTTCCGGGGTGGCCCTGTCCCCTCCCCCAGCCTCCCCCACACACTCACTGTCTTCAAGCTGGTGCACCTGCTCTCCCAGAGACCGGAAGTAGGGGTGATTCAGGGCTGCCTCTGCGGATATGCGACTCTTGGATTCGTACTGAAAAGCACAGGGGTCTGTTGGGTCCTGCCTGGGGGACTGCAGGGACCCTATGGGAAGTGCTACTCCTATCCTAAGTTAGATGGCCAAAGTGTGAGGGGCTGAGTCTGAACTGAGAAGCCCTGGGGTCTACTGCCAGCTCCCAACCCAAGGGAACTCAGGCTCCCACCAGGAAAAAACCAGAAATGAGACTTGGGGAGAGTGGCCTCCTCTTGGGATAGAAATGCAAATGCTAAAGCAACCCCAATCGTAACGTTAATAACAGTAATCTCAATATGTAATACCAGCAAGTCCCTCTATTGTGCGCTTACTTCAAGACATGCACCATATTAAGTGTGTTCCATACTCTCAATTTAGCTCCATGGCCATCTTATAAAATATGAATGATTCATTCCACTTTGCCTTTGAGGAAACAAGCACGGGAAAGTTCTGTAGCTCACCCAAGCTACACAGCTACTAAGTGGGTTTGAATTGCAGTTTGAGCTCTGAGTGCCCACTCCAAGTCAGTGGCTTCTCTTGGGCCCGGGTGGGGGTGGGGTGGAGAGTGGCAGGGGAAGGGGCAGTTCAGACTTATGA